CATGTGTGTGTGTGTGTGCGTGTGTGTGTGTGTGTGTGTGTGTGTGTGTGTGTGTGTGTGTGTATGTGTGTGTACTGTATGTCTATGTGTGTGTGTGTGTGTGTGTATATGAGTGTGTTTTGTCAAAACTGAAGGTAGCAGTTAGTTGCAGTTAAAAATGAATTACAAACCAATGCACAAGCAATCGACATTTAAAGCTGTCAGCATATACACATCAGAGGTTATCTCACACATGTGCGAGAGAATATGAATAGAAACATCACTGACAATATCATTATACTGAAGATATATTTAATATAGGATACAATCTCAAGTTGACAAGTCAAGGAACAAGCTTTCATTATTTGTTACCTCTATTTGCGATAACTTCTCACCATGATGCGAGTTTTGGACACTGGGTTGATAAGTAGTAGAGATGTCGTCTTCACTGCTTCACGTCCGTTTTCTGTCTGCTGTTCCCTTCCGGGTCAGTTAGTCAGGTGCACACTCCTGGTTAAGAAATAAGCTGTTAGAACCCTAGGTGAGGCCCGCGCCAAATGTCATCGGCTAATGTCTGAACGGCTTGCGCGGGAACCACCAAACTTTCCTAGAATGTATGTGGAAACAATTTTTAGAATTAAGGTCATATTCTATCTTGTTGCTATGGTAATTTCGGTTTAAACTCTAAAGTTGTCAGTTTTTCGTGTTAAAATTACACATGCTTTCTAACATTAATGGCATCCTATGTAATTTCACGTAATTTTTGCGGTTTTAGCCAATAAAAAAATCACATAAATGACATCATAATGACAATAGAGTATAAACATTTTTGCCTTTTGATTTTGCGAATTCTTTATGAAAGTGTGAATAGATTTTTACTTACAAACCTGGCACTGTGACTTCCCCCGATGCTTACTTAGTGACCCACGGGTTCTTAGATCCCCCAGATCGCCAGTGTTCCCATGTATGTATGTTGTATATGAATGATCTCTCCTTCCCTACATGTGAAGTGTTATCTCGTACATTACGTGTGGAGTGGCCAGTACTTGCCCACGGGCGGTAGAACCGGACCAGATACAGACCTTCTGATGAATCATGGCGATAGGAGAAAGGCCAAATCGTTAATCGCCATATGGTCGCCGGAACTGAATATAAGTACTCTTGCTTCGCTTCTTCTTTACTGATTTGATTAGTTGTCTCGTACTTCAACCCTCGACAAGAAAGTTATGTTTTTGGTACCAGTTGTATGCGTGTATATTATGTATGTATGTATATGTATGTATGCATATATGTATGTGGTTTACCACGATAACTCAAGATCCTATGGATGGATTGTCATGGAACTTGGTAGGTTTTGATGAGACATCGAATTGATTGGATTTTTCAGTGTATCAATAGATAATTGATTCGACAAATGAGTAAACCACACCTGCATTCCCTGAGGAGTTGCTATCACAGGTAATATCTTCATGACATGTTGCGATGGTCAGTTCGGAATGGCTGCATGGTACTGATACTTGCCTAAGGGGGAGTCTTCCTATCTCTCGTTTTGCATTTCGTCACAGGGGATTTCAATACACCATGATCGATAAGCAAAGATGTGAGAGAAACAATTTTGTGTTGAGTTAAACTTTATAGCTTTAGATCAAACGTATAAGAATTTTGCGGGAGGACAGAACTTGTTTTTTTTATTACAGCTAGTCTTAGTAACAACGAAAACAAAGAAGCATTTCACCAGGAGTGTGATATCGGTATGATCAAACAATATGCAATAGCCAGTCCAGTATCATTGCTACTGCTGGTACTGGCCTGAGGGGGGATCTCTCATTCTCTCTCTCTGGTCGAAAAGGATTTAGATACATGTTGTTCGATTAACATAGATGCAAGATGTTGAAAAGGGTTTTGTGTATGTTAAGACGAAGACGAAAAACGAAGCATAAATAATGTAAACACAAAAACAAGTGCATGAGTAATATGTTATACCAGTCAGACCAAAAGTATAGTGCTAAATAATCTCCAAAGTCCCTGCTCCAGAGTATAATGTTGCTCGTGCGATGCTGAACGCTTCGCTGTATGTACATGAGTGGGTGCAGTACCTCTTCACTCCGCTATGACATCTACACACATCCACAACCCACCGCACAACTGTGCGAACTTTTGATATCAAACACGGAATAAGTCTTCCTCGCATACTTGTTCTGAGTTAGCCTTACTCGAAATCGCGTCGTCTGAAAACATGATACGCGTTAAAGAAGAATATCACAGAATCTCACTAGCATTTTAGTTCTCCGGCAGCCCTGCCTCACAATAAATCAACCACGCTTATCAGATATTGAAAGAGCCCATTCCGCTGTTGCCAGAACTAAATGTGTATCATAGACGTTAATGCCTCATGTAATTCACATTTCTCTGGACTATCGGGCAGGCATGGCGGCCTATGGAACAGTAATAAATGGTCAGTATTGTGGCACAAGGTCACCTCTTTATAACTGTTTGAGGACTGACTGGATGAGAATTGTAACAAACCTGATTCAACTTAGCACTAATCTGGGAGTTTCGAGAAGCATTTTGATTGAAAATTCATTTATATTCTACAGGTAGCTCAATAGTGAGAGTGTTTTTTTTATAGATTTTCTATTTTTAGTTTTAACTCTAGCATCAAGATATCGTGTTTGTTTGTTTGTGTTGTTTTGTTTTGTTTTGCAATATACCTTACAGTAAACACTGTTAGAAGCGCCCTAATTATGGGGCCAGTAACATGCGTCGTACCATCGCAAACTGAACGCACTTTTGGGTTAGTCACGTGTGCGTCCTGCAAAATTTAGCCTTCTTCTTTAGGAAAAAGTTTGTTGTAAATCCTAACATCCGGCGGTTGTTTCTGTCACAGCCTACTTGAAAATTCTGCGACATCAAAATCGCACGATGCCCTACGAATGTATCTTGCGCGTTTAAATTATTTGCTTGTCGTTATCAAAGCCGACAATAAGATAAGAATATAAAGTAAGTATCGTTTTTATTTGGCCCGGTCAGCGTGTGGGACAGCTTGTCTCTGGCGCCGTAAGCCGGCGGGTGTTGATGAATGTGTTTACGACTCTGATATGACCACAGGAATGTCCCTACATCCATCGCGACTGGATATTTATAACGTCTCGGCCTGGTGATACTGCGCCGGAGTGATTCCACACTGACCTGGATAGGAGGAACAGGAATCTGTAGCCGCGGGCTTGTGGAGAGAATCTTTCCGTCAAGTGGTTTTATCTGGGACATTGTTACCCACATCATTCCTCTGTGGCCATGAAACTGTTTTCTTTATTATAAAACTTACGATTGTACCTTGCTTTTCCCAATTAGCATGAAAGTTCATCTATTCCTGTTTCAGATGTATGTATGTAAAACTTTATGTTTTCTGTATATTGTCAAACTTATGCTTACAAACTTGTTGTCGTACTACATAATTTTCCCAAAATAGCATAAAATTTCATCTTTATGATGGTGTATAATTCTAAGGGTTTCAGGTGTCTGAATATGTACAACTTGTACAATGTTAGTTTGGACTTGCGGTAAAGGATTTTAGCCAGCTTTAAATGAAAAAGCACACAGCAAGCGATAGTGACTTCTCTCCTCACCAGGCTACTCAAGGGTGTCTGGAAACAGTAGTTATTGGCCAAATGGATAACATGCCAGGGGAGTTGGTCCGCTAAAATTTTGAAGGAGTACAATCCTTTATACCGATGATGATGATGACGATGATGATGATGATTTGCCTAGCAATGAGTTTTTCTGTCGTGAAATTTCTTGTTTTAACCTCCTTGCTGAGACGAAGAGGACAGTTCGGACCGTTTAACGATCCCGATAGACAACAAGTCCTGCTCTGTCAACCGCGACCGACTACCACAGCGCCCGTCCCTGCCGGCTGCCTCAGGTTTAATTGTAATAATTACATATGTTTACATTCCTCCTGACAGCTCGTAGACGGTAATCATACACCTTCATGTCGGTGAAGCAGGTAAAATGTGTCCGAAGAGTTACCAAGGAGAGGACTATTAATAAACAAATACAGGTGATACTCATAATGCCATATATTCATTATTCATGTAGGACAATATTTGATAAAAAGCCTAAACGCTAAAACCCCATCAATGATTGTGAAAGCACATTCTCATCCCGTATTACATAGTCTTTTGTAAGCTAAACTAGTCTCATATATATGTTTGTTGTTATGTAGAAGTAGATACCATGTGCTGTACCCTGCAAACCTGCTGTGCAATAAACTTTACAGCTAGTCACAGAGAGAAAAATTCAATGATGCATTCAGATCGTATTGTAATATCCTGCGTTTTTTTTGTTCGATACCAAGACATACAACAGGAGTTTCTAATTGTTGCTTTGTATCTTTTGGCGCCACGTGGTTTTATACCATATGTCGTCATGCAGTAAAGCAGGATATGAATGATATAGAGAAATGGTCGCAGAGTTTGAGTCCACTCTTTTTCTCATCTAGTTAGAGGATGTTTGCCCTGGCGCGTTTTGTCGCGGGAAACCACAATAGTGAATGGAGGGGGAAACGTTTTATGATGGGGGTAGTGTGACCAGGTGTATTTGCATAACTAACCACGTGGGTCCCCCCGGGCCACGCAAGCGCTCTTGTCATGATCAGGGGCCAATGGATTGTGGGTACTGGTCAGTGGCGAGTGGCAGGGGGCGATCGTTAAGGCTTCTTAAGGAGGGCACGCGTCTTAAGGTAGGTTCTTCGTAAAGTTATGGGGTGGGAAACTTTCTAAAAGTTTGTAACAAAATACCTTGTGATGAGCGGTGTTAATCTCTGAAGTGTGGCGGTTATTTCCTCTCGTTTTCATCTGTAATTCCATTCATCTATAATAACATTGAATTTGTCGTAAAGTGAAGAATTCAGCAATAGCATTCTGGTGATATTTCTTATGTAGAGTGTTTTGGCGTCACTTCGTGGTTTCCAGTAGGAGAACTTGTCGGCGCTACCGGGACTGACCTGAGTTGTATTCTCACCCTCCCTCCTCCACCGAATCGCGTGAATCGTCCCCAATAAAAAAAGTAGCGCCCCAGAGCGGCCCGTCCAGGTTACATACAGCCCGACCTGCCGGCACATTCACCCCACCAACCCGCCCGGACACCAGACACCAGCCCCCGGCGGCCGAGCTGACAACACCCGGCGAGAGGAACCATCGATCGATCGGGAAATGACTGATCGGGCCGGCGGCCACAGCTGAGGTAAGGCCGTGCTCCGAATCTCAGATAAATTAACCTTATTAACTTTGATATCAAATAGGCGTAACTCGGTAGCGAGTAAATACACGCGCCATGAATGTTTGATACCAGAGATCGGCCCGAGCGCGATGAATACTTAGGCCTGGTGAAGGGTCGCCAGATTATCAGTCGGGATCGCCATGCTTAACCCTACGTAACCCGCGTAACCCCAACATATAGATAGTCGGGCCAGAGCACCGGCAAGTCGCTGACAATATTCTCTGTACTACTACGGGTGGGAGGTGAGTGTGGTGGGTGTATCGTAAGCCGTGTCTGTCAGTGTAGGCATAAGGTGTATACTACAGCATATGTGTGTGGACACGTGTTCTAGAGGACACCTGCTACAAGGTGTTTGATATACGGAGAAGTAGTGGCGTTAGGAAGGAAATCTTTGTGACTGTGAGTCTCTCTCTCCCTCTCCTGGTCCGGGATTGATTGAGCGGGGACTAAACTGGCTCCCGCTCGCCGGTTGACCTCTGGCCACCGAAAATGTGCGGGCGAGCGCCTCGGCTATAATCGAATTTTGTCACTCTGCTGGGCGCTTCTTTTCTGGCCCTGATTTTACGGTCCAGATGTAATCGCGTGTTGCGCCTTTCCCGGCCGGACCCCCGTTGAAATTCTCTCCCATTCTCCCATTTTCCACACAGCTCATTATCAGCGGCAAGTCCTCACCCCGTGAAGACCAAGGGAGACCATCTGCCGGTCTTGCTGCACGGACGACTCCACACGTAACCCGGCAGAGGAAGGAGGGGACATCCGCGCGCAACTGGTGGTTCCAGCCAGCGAGTAAAACCTCCCCGAACGACCACAGTAGTATAACCACAACAGCAGGGACGGAAGTACGACGGCTCTGCCCTGGGCTATGAAGGTGGACTCGGGCGGTGTGGACTTGAGCACCATGGAAAGTTTGCAGCGACAGGCGAGTCGAGACCTGAGCGACGACGATTCCGTCTCCCTGGAGCCCGGGGAGATCCCGCCCGAGGAACTCCGGCGGCAGGTGGCCGAGGCCACGGCGGGAGACCGGCCCTTGAACCTGGAGCACCCGGGGCCGCGGCAGCCCGACCAGGCCGCCGCCAAGGAGAACGCTAGCGCGGCCGTGTCCGTGTCGGTGCCCGGGCACTTCCACCAGGGGCTCGGGGTGGACACCTCCCCGCCCGAGCTCTCCCCGGAGTCCCGAGAGCTTGCCTTCATGCAGCAACACCTGAACGCCCATGCCCACCAGGCCGAGTGGTCCTTCCAAGAACAGTTCAAGCAGGTATGGCATACACACATTCACACACACACACACACACACACACACACACACACACACACACACACACACACACACACACACACACGTACACAAATATCTATTATAACAACACTCCCGCCTTCCCCTGAGATTAATGATTCCATTGATAGCCATTTACAAAAGCTGTCCTTCACGTTCGACAGGTAGTGAACCATATAGGAGACCTACACGCCCTCCTGTCCCCCCTTCTCTCACTCACTAGTCTTCACCCAACCGAGTTCCTCCCCTCATGCAGGTTGGACGGAGGAGGGCATGCTTGTGTGGTAAGGACATGTCCAGTAGTCGTTCCCAGGTAGGCTGGGAGCCGTGCACAGACGGTCCGCCGGCCGGCGAGCGTGGTTTGTTTGGGTTCCGACACACCATTACAAGCCCGTTTACAAGGTAGTAAAGTAAACACAACTGCTTCCCGGCCAAGAAAAGACCACTCGTTCGTGTCAACCTGTCGGGAAAAAGTGACAAGAGACCAATATTTATCAACTTGCCACGTCTGGGCCGCTGGGTATGAAATAAAAAAAGAAATCGCACAACATTTCCTATCCATGCTTACGTTAAACAAAGACCATAACAGACGTGTAAATGGCTCTTTATGGCTTCTCTCTTTTTACACATTTGAATGGCCTTGCATAAAGCAACCTGTAGCTTAGTGGCAGGCTTAGCAGGGGAGTGACAACTCGGAAAATATCACTTAGCGTCGCGTTTGGCGGGCAGGTGCGAAACCACTGAATCATAAACAGCCGGGCGCGCCGACTAAAAACTAAAACACCGCACGCATGACTTCAGCGCACATCAAGTCCACGTATAGAAAAGATCTCCAAACACATAGCCAGTTCTCTAAATTCCGACCCCCTCGGAGGATTGATGTTACGTTTAGAAAGTTGTCTATCAGCGAGGGCCTATTGGCGCCAGGGGACCAGCCGTCTGTACAAAACATCAATGGCAAAATGCCTTCTGATGTTCTAGTGTATGTACTGTACTTTCTCCGATCGAACTCCCAGGGCAAACCGCTGAATGAAACATGTCGATACGATGCCTCAAATTACGCGGTAACTAGGGAGAGGGCGTCGATACAAGGATACCGCCTGAGAGGCTTGTGTCCACGATCTTTGCTCATTAATCAAAAGTTACACCACACAGGTGATACATGGCGGATTTATAACGATTAATGTGTTCATTGCATGTGACGAGTAATCTCCCGACGTTTGGAGGACTTTGTGTTTGTTTTCTCCCCGCTGCCACTTTTGGCCGACGAAACAACCTTCTTAAAAGCGTATCTACAACAATTACCGGTCGCGGTGATTATAAATGCGACGTATCAAGCCGGCAATCAAAATTCTGACTGCTGACGAAGGACCTCATTGTTGGACATCCTGTGGGCTTTTTTGTGGCCGTTATCGAAGTGAAAAGACCCCTGATACGGCTTGATTCAGCGGATGGCTGTACATTAACCGACGACCCGCATGGCGTGTTGACATCCTGAAAATGGTCCAAGCGGCTGCTGAATGCTGTAGAATCAGAGATCGGGCGGGGGGCATTTGGTCCTTTTGATTGTGAGGTTTTGTCTGGTTTCGTGGAGAAGAAAAGGGGGCCGTGGAAAAGAGGCCGTCGGTGAATGGGCCCAGTCATGCCGTATGCAGAGCTATGCATGTTCGACAATGCCTGTATCAACATTTGGGCAGCATTATCATGCGATCAATAGATAGGCTTTGTGGCGGGAGTAATGTGCAGGTCTGAAGGAGGCTTGACGGGGAGGGACGCGATCAATTTGTCTTCGCCGACGTTTTTTTTTTCTCTCCCGCCCCGCAGAAAAAATCAGAGAAGTTAGCGGGGGTCAATCTCTCCCCAGCCCACCTGATTACCCCTTCCCATTGATAGGGCGTTATCTTACATGTACACCTGACCTGCAAGCCAAATTCCAGCCACCATAAACTTCGATTTCACTTTCCAGGGGTCGTGCTCGACTGTTAGCCTCTAATCAGGGGGTGAATTTTCCACCATTTACCGGCCACCACAATTTTCATTGCCGCCCTACTGGGCTTTCTCGGCCCGATCCATCAGGCCCCATTTTCTGCCGACCGGCTATCATATCGATAATACGATCGTCTGGATGCCGAAAAAGTGATTAAACCGGCCCCATTCCCGGGCTTGGGAGGCTCAGATTAATTTATGCATTTCTCCATTAAGCTCGATCCGCAGGACATTTGGGACCGGCGTGTTATCATTCCCGTCATAACGCACGAACCGCTATCATCGGCCGCGAGCTAGCCTTCCTCTTTAAAACCTTATAACAACTTGCAGATTGTGTAATGCAATATATGGCGACTTTTTATCAATAAGTGTAGTGCGTAATCACTATTGATCGTCCCCCGCACGGCTCCGATGGGCACTTCGGCACAAATGCGGAGTGCTGCGCCGCACATACCGCCGGAATGGTGCGCCAGAAACACCGATTAATGACGCTTTCCAATTATTTTTCTCGATGGGGGCAACCTTGGATGTGTCGTCCCCCATCAGGATAGAACCGTTATACATATGGGTTTCAGTAGGAGAGAAACTAGCCACTCTATATACTCTCCAAGCAGAGGTTTAGGCTTCGGATATTTTTGACCTGTTTTAGGCGTTTTTATTAGACTTTCTTTTTTAGTACCGGTATCTTTTATTCGCCAACCAAACAAATGGATACTGTCATGACAATTTGATACTGCCTTACAGTCACCAAAATATCTGCTTGGAGATTAAACGCTATATACGTACGGGGCTGGGTGGACGAGAATGTTACCTTGATGCAGTTTTGATATAAAACTGAATGCGGTTGTGTGTGGAGACAGCAAATTAAATCCCGGATTTCGTGACATGTATACTGACCTATCCTAGCTACAAACCACAGGTTATGTTTGTTCAAAAGCACGTACGGATAGAGTCTAGTGGGTGTTGTGCGTTGTAGAGTTTCTGAATTAATATTGGGCACGTTCTGGACGTGTTCCATATCTAACACAAATTTTCAATACCGGTTGTAACTGAAGCGCCCATAACTTTTTCCGTGTTATAGGATGATACAACAAACTGTATCACTCTCTGCACTTTTTATTCAAATTGGGTACCTTTTTATGAAGTAAATGGCTCCGTCTTAGTTGTTTGATAATCAGCCATCCGAGTAATCATATCGATAACTTTCGTATCATACTTTTGTAGTATCATGTTTGTTTCTATATATTCTATTCTATTCTAAAATTTGTGACGTTATCAAAGACAGCTTGATACAGACGCAGTTGAATTGGCATTAAAGAGACTTGTGACAAAATCTATGTAGCGGTGAATAAACAGTATAAAAACAGTCCAAAAGTCTGTGTTGGTCTGTGTAATGGTTCAACTAGCTCGCACACTCGGAGACGTCACAGCCTAAGCTAGTCATTCACTCATCTCAACACATTACAACTATCGAAAAAGTTGGGGAACCCATGGAAGCAGCCAGCGATACATGTATGTACGTATGGCGTAACTCTTTTTTATGAAGAAACAATGATTAAACTGGTGGAAGTTTTTTTTCTTTCCTTTGTTGCTAAACACTCGAACAAAAAGTCGCCATCTTGTCAACAATCGGAAGTAGATACCGAGGATTCTTCCGTATCTTGGAAACCCGCGGCGTCTCGGGACGTGTGTTAGTAAGACTGATTCCCTACCTGCCCTGTCGTCTGATGGGAACTTTATGGGACTATAATTCAAACTCGATCCCATATCGTTTACAGTGATGTTACCCAGATTCCAGATTAATTCTTCTTCACATAAAAGCCTATGAAATATTTAAATTTCATTTCTGGCCTATCATCTGGAGTGATTAGAGACACAAATTACCAGCCGGCCGCCCTGTTACATCCATATGACGAGCGCCGTTAATAATCCTCTACACACTTGATTCACGGTCCCCGCCTGAACTCTAAAACTTCTTTTACTCCAACTTTCCCCAACAACACACAGTTCAGACTTTATTGTTAGTGTACAGATATCTATGCGTGCTAGCGCCGGCTCGGCATGGTAATCGTGTTTTAATGTATAAAATCCCTCGGTTGTGTAAATACGCACTGCTAGGACGCTATCGCTAATATCAAAGTTTATCCACACACTGTGAGTGGGGGAAATGCGGAGCGTTGTCACGCAAAAGTCGGGGGCGCGGCCAGAGGTGCGTAAAGTACAAAATCACCAGACAAAGATATAAATAGTCACAATACATCGATATGTAGATGTTTTTATACCGTCTGGAATTATTACGATCAGTGCAACAGTAAGCTTAAACCAAGTCCTGTTGTCACAGCTGATTGCACCCTGGGGAATTGTACAGCACGTCATCATATCGGGATGCCATCGAATATTAATGGATATCATCCTCCTAATCAAGACAGATGTGATGTGATGTATTTGTGTGATTAGTCGATCATTGATCTCAAGAAAAACCTGCCGTTGTCTTCGGCTGAAACAACTCCAACCTTTACCAAACTGAAGACAACATACAAGAGGAACTATATATATATATATACAACGCTAAGATAAATTTACAGTCCAACGGGATAGTGTAGAAAGACTGTATTTTTGTGATTATCTAACCATTGATCTCAAGAAAAAGTCATGCCCGATTTTTTTACTAAAACAGCTGCAACCTTAACCAAGCTAAGAAGACAACATACAAGAGGAACTACAGCGCTAATGTACATTTACAGTCCAATGGGACCACAGTGTTGTAAAAACTACAGCCTGATTTTGAGTTGTTGACTGTTGACACAAGTTGCTGTGTTGTGTGTTGTGTGTGTGCTCGGCATTGTCCAGCCTTGAGTGCCTCCTTGGACAATGTCTTTGTCAAGTTTATAAAGACCTGTTTTCTTGAGTAGAGAGGAACCTATAACATGTTTGTTTGAACTAACAGCTTCCTATGAACCTAAATCTGCTCTTTTCGCCTCCCTCCCCTGTTTTCTGAAATTGAATCTCTCTGCTTGATTCCTATCTTTTGTTTGCAAAAAAAAATGATAAAATCTGCGGAAAAGTCTGTGAAAACTTGATACAAATTGACCCCTTGATTCCTCTCTACTACACAGAAACAGCGTAAAATGCCGGCGGCGCTGGACAGCATGAAAGTGCCGGGGCAGCGACAGGGCGACTTTGGGCATAGTGCGCACCAGTACATGACGGCACTTAACGAGGTGAAGATGCTTGAGTTATTATTTCTGTTGAGGACAGAACACAGGAACTGAACCTCACAGGAGTGTTACTTCTTCTCCGACCTTTGTTTTTATTGATTTAAGGCACTCAATGCAATTTCAGGGCGGCAAAACAACAAAAAATATTCAGGATGAGGAAATCTGTCTGATATTGATATTTATTGCCATTTCTTGGCACCGTGAAGAGTCCTTTTATTTTTTGTACCACCAACAAATAGCTAGCATCAGCCTACAATATGCAATACGAAACAAGCAGCCGTTTTCCGTCAGCGACTTTGCCTCACACTCAATATGCTATGGGATAGGGTGATTCAACTTATTACTGTATACATCAAGGAAATAAGCATAAAATTGACTCTGAAAATCAAAATCCAGTTGTAATGCCCTGAAATTGCTTTGGGTGCCTTTAATTCGCTCCACCTCGATAGACTAACTCGTACACGTAAATTCCTAGGCTCTTTCAGAAGGTCAGAACTAATTCTGTGTGGACAAGAAGAAGAGTGTTCTAACCTAACGTCTCTGTGTGTGTTCCACCTTGTAGACTGTCTAGATTGTGTGAGAAGTCCAAACTGTGTCAGACCATGCGACTGTGTTTTGCTTGTGTACTAACTCGCCTTGGTTACGATGTTTGCTTCTTTGAGGACCTTTACGGTCGGGTTACAACTTGCCAGCAGACGTTGTCATTTTCATTTTCAGTTGCTTGATGCTTTAATATTAGAATTGCCGTAGTTAGAAATGATATGACAAAATTACCATTTTCGAGGTCTAGTGGATGCATGTGAGTTGATCTCCAAGCAGATCTTTTGGCGGCTTCAAAACAGTCTCAAATTGGCAGGACAGTATCCAATACGCCACCGTTTGTTTGACTGGTAAATAGATTCCGGTACAAAAAGCCCGATAAAAACGCATAAAACACGTCGAAAATAAGTGGAAGCATGAACTTCTGCTTGGAGAATAGCTATAGCTAGTTGAGAGTCAGTCCCCGCGAAGTTTTGGAGCCCGGGGTATAAAGCCAGTGGTGACAGGCAAATTGAGCGCTCAAACAAGTCACAAATCCGTTATCAGAAGCGGATGTAATCTATACAAAAACATTGTAAAATGACGTCTGCATTGTGTCCACACTGTGGCATACTGTTTAGGGAGAAGCATTGGTTCGCCTCCAACCGGTGAGCAGTTGTCACTCGTAAATGAGTCGTACATTTAGCACCAATCCAAAACCATTTGAACATGGAATACAATGTGCCTAAGTTGTCCAGAGTTCCTGCCGATATACGTGACATCTCAAGCATATTCAGACACGCCGTTCTAAACAAACTTTTTCAATGTGCACGTAAGAGTCAAAATGGTACTCCAGTCGCACCAGTCGTCGATGATAGAATAGAATTTTATTGACACAACATGATGATAGACATGCGAATGAAGAGTATCTAGTAACACAGTAATGCCGCTTGAAATGTCCGGAAATGATCTCATCCAGTAGTAAATTTGATTTGTTGTTAAAAAGTTCAATTGAATTGGTAGTTTGTGATTTACAACAGAAGCAGTATAAGAGGAACTGTCTAATTGGTAATATTTTGTACACACTCGCCTCCAGCAAGAGGGTCGCTTTGTTTTGGCTTCTTTACACAATGTGATGGTGACACAAAATTTATGAAGACGAGATTCCCTATAAATAACTTTTATTTACTGTCTGCATCAGTGTTCCGCCTAAGTACCAGTAATTGTCCAAACAAACTCGGACTTTATCTGCGGACTCGGCAAACATTTGCTGGCTGTAAGCACTCGTGTAGAAAAATTTCCACTGATTATTGCGACCGGGACGTCGTTCAACGTTGGTATAAGCAACATGGCCTGATGAAGTGGTTCTCGAGTGTGCTCTATCTACTGTATCTGTGGGCAATAGCCCGTCGGTAGATACGTCTCTATAAGACCCATAAACATTTCATTCTACCACGCACTATAAATATTCGTTCGTCTCACATCAACACTTATAAAGTACAGGGTTGTTTGTTGTCCTTCCGGTTGTGGATTGATATTTGCCAGGTACTTAAAAAAGTTGGGCCATTCCGAGGCGCAAAAACCTCACCACTATGGAATCGTATCTTTACGCACGCCTTATAGCAGGCGTAAAGGTACATGCGAGTGAATAATTGGAACATTTATACGCATGTTTTAAGATGTGCTTTATATGGATTCTGTGCAGTGTAAATCTGAAAGTGCCACAATTTGCCGACGTCGTATCAACCACATTCGTGTATGACACTCTGAATGCACTTTTGAACACTTTTGACGTTGAAACTCTCACCAAATGGCCGAGACACATATGTGTGCATACCAAGATCTAAAATCTCGGTGACCATAGCAAATCTATGACATAACCAGCTACCTTTGCTGCATCAAATATGTGCAATATGAATGAAACAAAATATCATTTTTAAACTCATCAACTTAAAATGGAATTCCATTTTCGGCATCCTTGTTAGGTACTCATTAAAAGTTGTCCACTGTGAGAAATAGAATCTTACGACTATAGAGAAAGTTTGCAGTACAATTAACAATCACCACACCAGTGTAATATCACTTTTATACACTAGAAACTGTCACAGAATCCTTGAATTGTCTTGACTGTGCAAACAGATGCCGGCTGCCCTGCCCTGCCTCTCCCACTGCACAGTAAAGGGATTGTTATTAACACAAAAGGCACGTAATTATCCGGCGATGATATATTATCGCGGGCTTTATCAATATTTAGTACTGCTATGCATCTCATTTATAGCATCATTGAAACGGCTGGGCTGTCAATAGGCCGTAAAGCAAATAGCACGGCGTGGCGGGCCGGCTGTTGGCGGCCGCCCGGGTCTGGATCTGTGCAGTGTATCTAGCAGGTATATTTATTGGCAGGCTGCCAACACCGCCATCAATTTTCAACTATTTACGTAGCGTGAATAATCTAACAGTGGGGGTGAAGCACCCTCTCGGTCACAAGGCGCCCCGGGCGCAGGATTAATTTGCCAGACAATTTTGATATCACTCTAGGAATCATTCAGCGATGCTAACTATGCCCGCCCGGCCTTGGAGAGAACAATAATCAATTGTATATAAAGGCTATTTTCCCTGCGTCGGACGCATACCAACACGGCAGACCAAAGCATCCCGAGTCATTCAATTCGCTCGTTTATCAAGCGGACCTGTCAGCCACAGGCTTCCATTATGTTGTTGATACGTGAAATTAAAGTCTGCGCGATGGTGGCTCGGAGCACGTCATGACTTCTGGCTGCGGGTGAGGAATGCGTCACGGCAGAGCACCCAGCAATATTGCCCCGATTGCAGGTAGATCCAGTGTCACCCCGTGAGAAGTACACAGACAGACCTGTCTGATGTAGCGTGGCCTCCCTTCGACCGAGACTTCGCGTTAACTTGTAGTCTAGAACAGACTCCTGAAGTGGCAACAAAAATAGAAGAAACTGGTCTTTCGGGGTGAAGAATTCACCAAGCCTAACGCTACTAGCTCTCTGGTACTTGTCTCTCTATGACTAGCCTGTTGCCAGAGAAAGTATATAGGCTAGCTCCTCAGCTACAGGGATAACATGCCCCCAAGCAAATTTTACCACAGGCCAACTTAGTTAGACTCTAAGGGTACAACTTGGGACTGCCCTGTGTGTTGGCCTGGCATCCAGGCTCTATTGCAGCTGACTCTTCTGGCAAATATTGTTCACTCTGTCCTGCCATTGGATGAAGCCCGGTGGAGACTATATCCTCTGAACCAGTTGGCAAATGTCGGTGGCATTTGGCGGAGAAGGGACATTTCCCAAGCATGTGCAACAGGAAGCCATGACATACACAACTCTGCCTGTCGATATCAAATAAACAAAGGGAAATCTAATCTGTCGAAGGTCACGGGTCGCGCAAACAGCCTAGCATGTAAACCAGCACTCTGTACACACGGTAGGCAAGGATTTGATTTGATTAAGGGAATGGCAGTTGGGTGGAGAATGCCAACAACATACCAGCACACAGGATTAAAGTGTACTTCAGCCGGGTTTGATATCACCGAAAGAGGAGGTCCCGATAAAAGGGAAGTCTTTGAGAGCGGAGAAAAGGCATGCCTGGCAAACATCGCGCCAGTCCACACACCTGACACAGGTGCTTATATAAAAGTGCTCTCGATGACAAGTGGGGGGACCGGTCATGTCTGGGACACCCAAGAAGGTGTGAAAACTTCCCCCCGCCGTCTCACGACCTAGATAAAGTTGTAAGACATTGTCGCATAGGTGTGGCCCTGTCATCCAACTGATACCGGATATGACATGAATAAACGTTCGGCCAAACGCCTGCAAACAGCAACAGATGTTTCTGGAACAAAGCCGCGCAAGAAGACGATATGCCAACTGTGCGACTTGATCTTATCACAATCAAAAGGTGTACATAAAAGCAACCATCGCAGGACGGTTGCGAATTGAGAAATCATCCATCATACCTGTCATACCCCACACAGCTGTTTGTGTCGGGAGAAGAAGGAGGTCGCACCAGACCGCATCTCAAACCTCTGCCCTACATTTCACTGTCATAAAATACCTAGACACTACAAAAAAACTCGACATCTGGCGACTTTTATGCCATATCTCCAGATTGCGTTGTGAAATCAAAGTAAATAAACGTCTGAAAGGGACTCGGAAGTGATACAATTGAAACTTCAAAAGGAACAAGCTCTGAATAGTCATTGTCCGCCATGTCATTGTGATTAATGATGTCAATGTAGGAAACGCATGGTTCTGTATCACACACGTATCACACAGAAATACTTCCCAATGGTTAGTCATTAGCTTGGAAATAGACACAAAGAACGAAATGAAAAGAACAGACAGAACTTGAAGACAGACTGGTTTGGGCTCACAGACTGGAAGAAGAGGATAGAGTTTCGGCTTTTGTTAGCCATTGTCGAATTGGCGATTGCAGAGCACAGATGAAATATACACGATTAATTAAAAACTTTAAAATAAATTAAAGCAAGGAAAAAAGGACAAACGTCCATGAAAATGACCCTCCATTTGTGACACTGGAGACAGATAATAGTCAGCTCAGTCGCTGGATACTGACTTACTCCTGAGAAACGTCACCATTTTGAGAGTCTTTATTCACACGGCCCACTTTATATAAACGCTTGGATTACTTCACGCTGTGAATGAACATTTTAAAACAGACTTTTTCTCTTGGTAGCTAGACTAACACTGAGTACAGAAAGTGAAGTCGTTGCTAATTTTCCCCCTTTCCTTATGTTTTACAGCTATATGAAATAGACGACGATCCAAAGAGGAAAGAATTCCTAGACAACCTCTTCACCTTCATGCAGAAAAGAGGTAAGGGTGATCTTGAAATACTATTTTTTGCGGTAACAAGAGAGAAACGTATATCCTTGTCATGATGGCACCAATGCATGCTCCTGTGGTTAATGCATCTAGACAATTCTTGGGATGTCGTTCAGATTTTCTTTAGGTGGATTGCATGAAACTTATAATTAGTATGTGGCTTATGATATTTCTAAGAAACGAACCCCCTGGTGGCTTTCCTTCTTATGTACTGTTGCAATGAACAGATACAGGTCTGTAGTAGTAGTAGTTTTAGGAACGCAAGACATCCTGAAAACTGTACTCTATCTAAGATATATGAACAGCATTCGATCGTGATCGAGATATTTCTCTTCCTCATTATGTACTATTTCCCTGCGTGTATACATTACTGTAGACCTCAGGGTCTCCTACAACTTTTAGTGCTGTAGCGGTCGACGACTTATAGATATGGGACATATATGTGTCTGCATTCCCTTGGGTTATGGTAGGGAATGTAAGACACACTCACTCACCACGTACGGAAATGTCAGTACAATGTGTTATATCATTTTACGAGTACGATGAAATGTTTGGACAGTTTGACTAACATTCCCCAACTTTCAGTTAAGATGACGAGTAAATGGAAAACTCAGAAAGAGCTGTCATCGTACTGTTTTGGACGAATGGTACGGTAGTAGAACTATTGTAGCACGTCCTGTAGCTGGGTGTTGTCCTATTCGGTAGTCAGATCGCAGCTAATTTGCGGTGTACTTGCGGTCATGTGGTTGCACTCAGGCATGGCAATTTGGGGGTTAGTTTTTCTGGATTCCAGTTTTGTCCGGCCACTCGACATGCGTCCATTTAGGTCTTGGATTACAAGGTCAATAACGCTACGTACATATCAAACATACAACAGTTTGAAAACCGTTTGAAAAACCTTGAACCTGTGGAGTAGTTAAGGTAGCCACCAGAACAAGAAACAAACTTCTCTGCTTAATGAAAAAAAAGGTAAAAGTGTAGTCCTTAGCTTTTTTCAGGCCGTAGGGGCAGTGGGTTGTAGTCTACTGTGTCTAGGGCACGGTATAGGAAGGCGAAGCCCATCCCTCTCCTTGTACAGTCTTCTACCTCCCCAACCGAATTCAGGTACCCATGGTTAGAGTGGAGTGAGGAAAGTCGTATTAAGTGGCTTTCCCAAGGACACAACGTCTTGCCAGGCTAGAATGCAAGGAATCGAGCCTATGATTTCTCGATCTCGAGTTCGCTAGTCTAACCACTCGGCCGTCTTACAACGCTGCATGATGATAATATAAACCAGCACAGAGTCTCGGCCACGCTTGACCATATATAGTTGTAGTCTGTCAGTTTATCTAGATACTCCGGTGAAGGCGCTAATCTTTCATGGCTGATAAAACAAAGTCAAAGTCAAAACACGTATTCTTGTCTGTCCGTCTGTCTGTCTGTGCAGTATGGGTTTTAGCACGATAACTCAAGCCTTGGATGGGTTGTCATGAAACCTGGTATGATTTTCCCAGCTAGTTGTTCCCATTACTCCGAGATAACTCTATGGCAGCCCAGACGTAGTCCCTCGCCATGTCCAGCCATGCCTGACCCAGGATGCGCCAAATTGGGACTACACAGGAGGACTGTTGTGCACGCAACAAGACAATGATATCAAAGGGAGTCTGGCTGGAAACGAATTACGTGACGCCATTATCAGGGGCATGTCACACACGTTAAGTGACCTATGGGGAAAGGGGCAGGAATCACGGCGGGTGTGTATGAACTGAGAGCCCGCATAGCGGTCCCCAATACTGCCGAACTACCCCCCTCCCCAGCCATGGTTGGGATGTTCGGTTGGTGTACATGTTCGGTGGCTACCGTTCGGCTGCGCCAGCCGAATGTTTTAAAATGTTAACGTTCAAAGTCAGCATAGGCCATAGTCAACAAAGAATTATTAACTATGCTGTGAAATTCGTTTCTAACAACTAATGCTAAGTATGATAGAAATTCTAAAATTATCTAGGAGTCTGTCATGTTCAACTGTTTTTAAAAGTTGTTTTTTTTTTACATGTGACAAGTGTTGACTAGTTCTGTCAGGTCAGTTCATCGTAGTGATGCTGACACCGAAGAAGAGGATGGATGTCACTGGAAATGTCTGGGAGTAGTCTCCGTAATTTATCCAGCAGCAGAATTTGTAATGTCTTTGAATAAAACCATCTAGTACGCCATTCAAAGCTAGCACAATGCGGAGGGGGGTAATTAATTAGCAGATATCTGTGTGTGCATCGGAAGCCCCACTCAGAGCGGGACAGGTGTACATGTGCCCGCACTTCCAGGTAGGGGCAAATAAATCACCAGTTCCCATTGAAATCGGCATTTCCGGCAACACACGGCAAATTTGTTGCTTCAACAAAGTTAGAGAACGGGCACACAGAGCCAGGAGATGCGCTTCGTGTTGTCAAATCGTCAAAAATGTTCTACAGTTCCCGTTTGAAACTATGAAAGTTTGCACAATGTTTTAATAATTTCAAATAAGATCCTTTGTCATTCAACAGTAAATTAAATGCACATTACCTTGGAACGTGCATGAAGAGGTACAATTTATGAGATGATTTTCGTCATAACTGAAATAAGTAAACGAGTAAAATAAGGGTAGAGCCTTGCGAAGTTTTAAAACATGAACACTCTTCATAAAGTTTTAATAATCCGTAGTTTTTCGCCATATTTTGCCCGCCCGTAAAATGACTGTATGACTCTTTAAAACGGACATGCAGAGGTACAATGGAGGAGATGCGCTTCAACTCTAAAAACCTCAAACATTTCATAATTCTAAAGTCATTCTTTGAAACTATAGGAAGCATGCATCTGATAATTTTCCAATGATCCGAAGGAAGGTATACTTCTGCCATGTATCTGTTATACAAAGAACTGTGTGAGTCATTCTGATCTGGGAACAGCACAGGCAGTGATTAAAGTGTTTGTCGGCAGCTGACCATTCCGATTAGGTGGTAGGACAGGAATGCTGCTCGAAAAGCACCCTCTTAACATATCTGAAGGAGAAGAACAGGGAGACATCGCAGGAAACGTACGTGACATTGCGGTATGCAGGAAAGAACAGACTGACATTGTGAGATCACCAAACTGCCTGGGATTCAAATTTCCCCATCTTTGTCGGAACACCGGGTACCGGTCAAGGCACCCGGAGCGAAATGTTAAACAGGAGTTTCAAAAGTCAACTTTCTGGTCGTATTTTAATGTCGTAAGTTGAGTCGACCCTATCCCATGCATACTAATATCATCTGTGAGGTAAAAATGCGATGTCGCTGATGGAAAACGGTTGCATGTTTTGTATTAAAGGCAGGTTCTAGATATTTATTCATTGGTGGTACCAAATGATAAAGGGACTCCATGTATTTTGGGGGCTATTCAAACTATGCAAAGATATGACCAAAATGTACAAAGAAGTGGCAGTAAATGTCAATATTAAAAAGATTTCCTCATACGAAATATTTCTCGTTTGTCCGACCTGAAATGGCATTAGATGCCTTCATATACATAAGGTGATGTAATGCAGTGTTTGTTTTAGGTTCTGGGAATTATATTTGATTTCTAGCCGATAACGTTCTATAATCTCCGCGTGGGTCCTGATATGAAAGACCAGCCGGATGTTAGTGATACCTACGCTGACCCATAGATCACAAGTCTGATTGCCCCCCCCCCCTCCAATCTACACCTTCCCATCAGTATTACAAAGGTTGACATTTGATGCCCCACCTGCCTGCTATAACTACTTTTCTATGACGGGGCTGTACGATAATGCAATTACATCCTTTATAATCAACTGTGAGAAAAACGCCGACACAAAGGCAGTCCCTGCACAGCACATTTCACGTAGGCGCTTGTTTCATGCCTAATGACGACGAAGAATTTTTACTTTAATCGTCGCATCTCAGCCCACCCAAATCTTAATTACCGTCCTTCCTATTAATTTAGCAGTAGACAATGCTGGGAAGACGCAATAATGGCCTATAACTCCGGAGTTAATACCTACTGGATGTTATTTCAGCGGAATCTTTCCTGAGGCGATCACGCTATCAATTCAGATTGGCGCCCCAACATGAAAACTCCGCGGCAAATGGAGAATAAATTACTATCCAGGCCTCGAGAAAAACCTGTACGGTCACTTTTTATAAGAGCTCATAAGCCACATTAAGCATATTATCCCTGGGGGCGCAAATTTGTGGCTGCTGAGAGCGGCATAAGTCAGCTCGGGCTTGTATAGTAAATTGGAAATGGTTAAGGGTAGAATTCACTTTGCCCGCGCCCTGCTACAACACATGTTCGGGTCACCCCCTGCATTAACCTCCCTGTGCAAAACGTCAATCACCCGCTCCCTGCTGACACATTCGAGCCTCCTTTGTACACTCGGCCCGACTCGGAAATGGCGAAGACAAATGTGCTACATTACAACTTAAACTGACCATGTGATTGTATTGGATTCACCTGCTTTGTCGGAGGCTGGGGACGACTTTGCGGCAGACAAACGCTACAGTGAATCCTGTCTGTCCATGCCGTTAATACTAGTATGTATGTGCACCCGCAACAGTCTGCTATTCTCATAGATACTAGTATTCACCGTATAGAAAAAAATACAATCTTAGTTTTTTAAAAGTAGCAAATTCTAGTAGCTGAATCCATTCTGGTAACTGAATAAAAGCCTAACCCACCACGCATTACGACACATGTACGGGCAAAGTTACGAGCTTGTTGCAGTTTATTGTGGATTTGTCAGTTGATGTGCTCTGTTCAGTTCATTCCATACATAAGCGATTATATTGACCCTTGCTGCTTGATATAAATCTGTACATAAATGGTTCAAATGGGCAACCTTAAACTGTATTGATTCAAATGTGTAATAATACGTGTGCCACACTCTAATCAACCCAGTCGTTGTTGCCAATGTAACAAAATATTGCAAATTCATTACTCTGTGCTTATAAAAGTCCTTGTCTCTAAAGTATAGCCTATACATTCCTGTACTATCATCGGAAAGTGAAAATGTGTCTCTCTATACATTCTATTTTGATTAATTTTATAGTGATATCAACTTATATTAACTTTTTCTAAATCAGCAATACGCCAGCTACAACTGTAGCAATGTGACTTGGGAAAACTTTTCTGGAGGCCTTCTCAATTAATAAAACTCAGGAAGGCACCTCAGAAGGCCATACAAAGAAACTGTGTTCAGTGTCTTCGACAGTCATGAGCATCCCAACGTCCATGTCATCTTAGTTTGTGACTAAGACTAAAAAAATGTCACAAACTAAGATGACATGGGCGTTGGGACCAGACGAAATACTATGGAAGATATCTGGCGCATGCATCCTGTCATAGCACACATCATCTAGAAGACTTCCCAACATGACATCCCTGGGATTTACTTCCCAACATGACATCCCTGGGTACTTCTTGCGACACTGCGTCAACTCTGCGTCTCCAAACAAGACCCGTAGTCTCAATCAGACTCGTTTTAATAGCAGAAAAATAATAGAAATTGGACAAATAATGGGAATGAAAGTTTTGAAACTTTATTTTCAAGCTCAACCTCACAATGTCTGAACTTTGTTGAATTCACAATATTTAAGAATCGTTCCACACTGAAGAGTTGGAGATAACACCTATGCTTGTTAAGATTTGTACAGAAATTTATACTTGATTATACGAATCATACGAATAATTTAACGTGATTATACGAAGTAAACAATGACTATTGACGAATTTACTTCAAATCGGTTAGCAAAGGTTGTCCTTCCCTGGGCCTACCGACTCCTCCAGGGACATCTTCTCTGTGTCTTCAGACCTCCACGATGTTTACTTAAGGGAGGAGCAACAAACAGATTGTTGGCTTGTTGTTACTCGATAGGATCTTACCAAAGGGGGTAATTAACACAGCTCCCGGGGCCTTGTTCTTACCACAATCACCGATAGTTGTGCACAGTGCACAGATTAGTCACCGCGGGCCCAGGGGGAGTAGTCCTCTCAACACACACTGGGAGGGGCGTGCGGTCTGTATGACAAATTGGTTGTTGGCAGGTTGTCGCTACCGGGCTTGAGCATATATGACTGCACCAGTGGAGCCTGTGCATCGACATGTCCGAGAAATATAAACACGATAGTAGACCACACAAGGCAAGGGCATGGGAGTAGGACTCTCCCACACATTACACATATACACCACCAGAGCAACGATTGAGACAAGTGTCGAGGCAGAGGCTCTGTATATACACCTGTTTAATGTCCAATGTGAATGTTGTCGATCGCGTTACACTTGTGCCTTACTTAATGCGAACGGTCAACAAAAATGCCCAGGCAAAGTACAACATATCCAAGAGTCTCTGGCAATGTAAAAAAAAGTTTTAGCTCATGAGTAAACGTCCAGAGCAAAACAGTTACTCAATATATAATAACAAGAAGTGAGGTGATATTTGAAGTTTTGAAAGGTCCTATAAATAATTTTAATACAGTTATAATGAGGCTAACTGGACAACTGACATTTTAAATGCTACAGGATTATGTGAAGTTTACCAAGTTTTTTTGGCATTTTAAGTGCATAAATATTTACGAACTAAAATCAATTACTTGTATGTTATATGTATATGTGTGTATATGTAATACGATCCCGTGTACAAGCCTTGTGCATGTAGCGGGGACACATGTAAGGGAAAGCCAACAAGATAAAAGCATTTAACACCGGGAAACGCGTCCGTGCACTGATTTCACGCTAGCCGCCACAGCGCACCGTACAGACATGCCGGCACAACTAGGCACTTCCACCGCATTACAGCCCACCTGAGTGCGCGGATTCAACCAAATTCCCACCACTTCATTTCATTTGATATCTAAAACGCGGACTCGGCGATAATTTCCTCCCCAACAATGGTTCCTTTCTCTGCCCCTTACAATAGCGCAAATGCGGCACTCTTGTGTGGATTGAATCAGACCTGGTCAGGGCCAATTTTCCCCAGCTATCGTGATAAGGTGTGCGGAGGAGAGATACCTGTTTTTCCGAGATAAAGCCAAACGCGCAGGTAATTAGACTCATATTTGATTACTTTCAGGTTGACCGATGTACAGTGTGTATGCATGTATGTGCGCCCGAGATCGAGCCTTATCTGATGGCTCCGTATCAGTGCAGTCTCCCCGGCCGACCAGGCCATTCAGATACACATCAGTGATGTCTTCATGCTGAGAGAGGAGAGAGAGACAAAGCTCATCTACACATGCCTGATTGCTTTGCATCTTAGATAGCATTCCGGGCATAAAACGCCTACTCCATTTATAGGGGGGCTCTGCCCCTCTCTTCTTCCATTAAGACTTTCTGACGTGTGTAATTAAGTCTAGCATTTGATGGCTTAAGATCACGCTGATAGTCAACATGTACACCCTGGATAATTCATCTGATCAAAGCCGGGGATTCACGGCTACCATTCTTCTCTTCATTTCACCCTTCATTTTGTCTGTCCTTGAAGTTCTGGGCAATCAATTTCCCCCCACACTCCCCGCTGACTCCCAGGCTCTCCGCATTCCATCAGGGCTAATTGGGTGGATCAGAACAGATACAGGACTGCAGGAAGAGGGGCAGAGCCAAAATCTGAATGAACTCCGGAGAAGTACATGTCGGTACACGGATGGAGGACTTTGTTTGCATGGGAAGGGACGGGCAGTCTTGTACCACATTAACTGATTATAAGGAGAGAAAATTACAGACGCAGAGTCACATAGTGGAAACAGTTTCTTCAACTCAAGGCCTGATGGCTCTCAATCTTGAGAATTGAAGAATAATTGACGGTTGGAACGCGCGCAAGATGTTCAAATGATCAGTCGGCGGTCCTCTATGCATGTAAAACATAGTCTGGACTAAGTGCACAAACAGAGGCCTGACCCCTAAATAAATCATCAAGCACTAGCCACGCTATCATACGCCATCCTGTAAAATAGTTGCTCAAAAACCTCATGGGCATCAGAACTGTACGTTATCTTTGAGAGACTCAAACACATCTATTTGAAAATTGAATGGAAAGAAGAGACAAACGTCAGCATTTTCAACAGCCAAAGGACCATGAAAACGTATCGCCACCGTTAACAACTTTGACCCCCACCACTCTAACCTTACTTACCTCCACATTGCCCTTGCCTTTGATCAAAAGATACCTGGAAGAGAAAATTGATTCGGAAAAGTTATCTCCTGCTTCTAACCCTTCCACCCCACAGGAAATAAGACTGTAAATCAAATTGCGCCAGAAAGGAAGACAATCTACTGCTGTCTGATTTTCCCCTTTCATTTCAAGAGAGATTGATTGGCCACAAGTTGTTTTATCTCTCCATTTGAGTGGCTTTTTGCATGCCTCCCCTGGTAGTGGAAGAAAGAAACAAGTCAATGTATGGCCTTCCATTTATCTAGCATAAGGATCCCATCTGATAATGGTTTGGGGCAACAGTACATTAGTACAACACAGGGGTCAGGCCCTTTCTAAATGTTTGATCAAATGTGGTAGTATATGGGATCTCCGGGGAATTTGCCGCTATTTGGCCGTGGAGGCGATATTGGCAAAGCCCAGTGTTGAGCCATTACAGGACTAATATTTATTCCCGGTCCTGCTAGTGCCCAGATTTATACAAGACCCCGACCTGGGCGTACAATTTCTACATCTGGCCTAACAGGGGTATATACAGGCAAGATTCCACATAAAAAGGCATTTCCAACAATCACCTTTGCCTGGCCCTGCTCTGATGGCACCTGATGTGGAGTAATCACAACGGGCAGTATTGATCCATATTTCAATCCTTCCAATGGATCTAAATTCAGCCTTTTATGGCTTGGGTTGTATTCTGTGATAAGGAGATTCTATAAATAAATGGCAGGGGATGATAGGACATAAACCTGATGATGCAACACGCCAGATGACTTTATGTCAGCTTTTAGCGTGGCTCAGTCCAGTGACATACATTTTTTCACACTTCTTATTCCATCTATCACAGTATAACACTTCTATGTCGTGAATGAAAATGCAGTGTTAAATGTAGTACTTTATTTTCTACTTGATGTAAGAGTTCAAGGACTGTAACTTTTAGAATACCTAAGAAAGGAGGAAGGGTGATAATTCAAATCAAGATAGTGGCTGTACTCCTTGATTGTCATAACATTGATCTGATATGCATTTGAACATATATGTTTTGACATGTATATATCAGAACATAGCAACATACCAAATATCAATCTCTTAGGAAGTATTTTTTCTTCAGATTGAACCAATTCAATTCAATGTAATACTATCTGGTACCATGGAAGCTAAACAAGACGTTAATAGCATTAAGTGAAGGATGGATGTGCCACTGTTGAAAACATGTCATGGAAAATCCCCAGCGGAACACTAGGCCTTCCAAGGGGCCAGATTTAGCCAAGGTTGACTGTTTTCACATAGGAGTGAGACCTGTGATCACGGAATGCCACTCTGATTGGCAATACAACAGAAGCCAGTCAGCCATACAGCAGATGCATATGCTGGGCATACAACAGTCTCGGTCTGACGGTTCCGAGTGGATCCACACATTCTTACATGCAAGCCAAGGTGATCTCATTCTGGGTTAGGTGTCCAGAATGCATGAACTTTTCTGTCCCCAGTTGACAGATTTCTGAAAATGGGTAATTAAGAGGAAGGCATTTTGGAAGTTTTTGATCACATCACACTTGACTGAACACTTCATGGTGATTGAACATCTATAAGTGTGATGCTTGAAAATGTTTTGTGCAAACTTTACCTGTATACATCCCAAATGGAAGCAAAGGCCCTGTCCTCTCATTTCATTAATTTTTGCTGAAATATTTCTGACGCAGGCTCACTTACCAGACCCAACAGAGCTGACCTTAAGAGCACTACAGTCTGGCAGGACATGCACTTTTCATTAGTACTTGTCGGTCTGCATCAATTACATGAACCCAGTCTCTGACAAACCTTAAATTAAATCTATGTCGCCTAATTCGTCTGGGAATTCCTCTATCCACCTGTGGCGGAGGGGCCTTTGTGTGCCTTGTCATTCTGGCAGTCATGCTTTGCTGCTTATGAGGGAGTCCTGATCCCTACATGTTTAATCAGTGTCATGTTTCAGTTGATTAAAGCCCACTCTGTCCTTCATAAATGTGATTTCAATGAAGTGAGGCATGTTCCTTGTGTTGTGAGAGGGGATTACCAGGTGTCGATACAAACCATCCATTATAAAGGGCCAGCCTTCATGCCATTTCTGCGTTCCGGGGCTTCCTTTTGGAACACCGGTCACACCTGGACTGTGCAGGGGAAGTGAAAGCATTAAGACAGGATGGGGAGATTTCTTCAGGTGTTTCGCCATACACAAGACCCCTATGTGGGATGTCTGTATCCAGTCACTGGAGGATACTTTATACATTGTTGCTGTGTTGTTGTTACTGTGGTTTCCTCTCAGCTCTCTGTGCATTTGACTGATGACTTCTTTACGTGATGAAGAAGAAATCCAAATAAGCAACACATGTCTATTGTACATTCTGACAGGTATCATTGCTTGTCTGTTCTTTATGCAGCTTAGAGTTTGACCTTAGTGCATAATCCTCCCTTCCTGTAATTAAGATACAGCACATTTCAGAGGACAACATTGATTACACAGTATCATGTGCAGAACAGCTATGAAATATCCCTTGACATTTCCAATCCGTCCTTGCAGCTTTAGTATATTATGTATATGAAATCAGGTGAAAACGATTGGGCTCGAAGGGTTGAGGCTTTAACGACGTAGGCTTATCTGCCTAGTATATCAGAACGACCCACATTTAGCAACATTAAAGCGTGAATTACATGTATATTCTCCTCATCTGCCTATCACAATGGTGTTTTATACAGCGGTAATACCAGAAAATGGAGTGTAAAGCAGCAGCCTTTTGCTAAAATAGCATGGTAATCTGGGAAAGAAAGGGCAGCCATGAATATCTCCACATTCCCCTGGGGCCATATGACTCATACCAAAGTGGAGATTTGGTGCAGTGATTCAATTCAAATTAATTACCCGAGGTGGATGTTTGCCTTTGTCTGCGTTTGACCCTGGGTCGGCTCCTGTCACCTCAAGCCCATTTAGACAGTTTCTCTCAGCACCCAAATCTGTGATTGCAATGGCTGTTGACAAGTCCGGATCATCCTCTGACAACTTCCTGCTTTTAAAAATGACAAGAAGTCATGATACTTCAATACAGAAAACATATGTAGGCTCACCAGAAGCACAAGTATAACAATATAATGACTGATTTTGCTGGACAAAAACTTCTCCAATCTATTAGGCATACAGAGAATATAAACTGAGTGTCACTTAATAGGAATGTGGCTGAAGCAAGGACAGTGTGTACACAACAATAAAATATCTCACTGCACTAAACTGACAGGATAATCCAGATCTGCAGATTATCTCTTGTTCTGGTTATGATTAACCATGTTTGCACTCTCCAGTGTTTTTGTTGTGAAGCCATTTGATTGACAGTTAGAAGATCTGAAGACGCAACAGGACACTCTGAAAGCTGCTTTCACTTGTAGTATAGCTTTGGGTAGTCTACAAAATGTATTCTTGCCATACAGGAACAGACACATGTACCCTGTGGGCTCTGGCCCATTGCATATACGGTTGATCCAAGGACATTATCTATACAATGTCCTTGGTTTTAACTTAATGTTCATGTGGAAGTGTACCATGCTTGATTAGGGCTGTGTACCTAATACCTGTACTTGTACCTATGATAATATTTAAGTACGACCGGAACCTGTACCTGAACAAAATGATTTCGTTTGAGAAAACTCTCCTTGATTTATCTTGCAGCTCATATCAAATTATGTGTTTGCCCTGACTATCTTCCTAAAAAATTTTTAATGTTACATTTTAAAACGCGTTTCTTTCATATGGGGAACCTCAGAAACCATTGACAAACTGTATGCTTGAACAGTTTGATAACTGTACAGTATTTACATAAAGGTGACAGGCCCTTGCGAGCTACTCCATACTCTGACCTCTGACTCTTCCATCAGTGTACAGACTCTTTGTATGGCACCATACAGGCGAAGTAGGAGTGTGACTGTCACAATGGGTTGGATGCATGGCGGTACATTTATGTGTAAAACGTGCGGACACTGCTCACTTTGTGTTGGTGTACAATCCCTATGTTATGTGACTGTTATTGTCTGAGATTTCATTCATCATCTACATGTATGGTGGCATCACTGTGGTTAGAAGCAGTCAACACCGTTTATATATGCAGTACCTTGTATGACATATATTGCATTTTGATATTAACATTGTCTAGAGAGTGTCTGCATGCTTTCCCGTGAGGCATATAGACCCCCACATTGTGTGTTATCATCGCCGGCCACTTTAATTCAAGATCATTAAGCATTGTTGGGAACTTTATGAAGCTTGGTCGCTTAAATCCCATGTAGCATGTTATTTGGTATCCTGAATTCATTATTATTGAAAAAATCTTAGTCTAAAGCCAGATTGCCCAAAAATCACACTATAGTTTCCAGCATCCACAAACTATATGAATGCAAAAGAACATTCGAAAGAAGTTGAAGCCAAATGAAAGCCTTATTACAATATATAACGTTTACCATTCAACGTTGTCAGCATCCCCCCTGCAGACCCTCCCCATCTCTAGGAAATACCTGCAAAGGAAAGATAAACATTTTCTTGTATACAACTGTCATTCATAGTAAACTGTCATTACCTAGTTCAACATATACTTTGCAGCTTGCAAGCTGGACCCTCTATCTATGGCCGGCCAACTCCTCTGGCCAATGATTTCCCCCTTTGCCGATTTCTACTATTTATTCAGCCTGCAAAGGAGTCTGGTGGAGACTAATAGAAAACAGTGTGCCCGGTTTAATTTTCTCTCAAAGATGCAGTTTAAAACGTTTGTATCTGACATTCTTGGAACTTAACTTCTGGCTTTCAGTCACCCTAAGGATATACTAGAAACTCAAACAACAAGGAACATCTCTAAATATATAATAGACTGTGAATGAAAGCGCTACAACCTTTCTCTGTCTCCAACATGACATGATTTTTTACAACAGGCTGATGTCGTCTGCAGTGCCTGTCGAATCTGTCTTTTCCCGCCAAATTGATAGGTGTCATTTGACAGATCATTATTTGCGCCTGATCAAGTTGTCTGTATAATATTTCAACATTATCAATTAAGGATACTCAAATTAGAATGTCAAATTGATATTTTAAGTTTCTTAAATTATTTATGTTTTGGCTTTTTGGATAAAATTTATTTTGGAATTCCAAATAAATGTTTAAATTTGAGGCACTCAATTCAATGTAATGAGGCCCCCAATATTTGTTTGCAAAAGCAAGATGGCGGGTTTGGGGAGGTGAAAAGTTGTACACTTGTCTGATTATTTTTGTCTTCCGAATGTTTTAATTGTTGTTCCACGAAGTTATGTGGGAAATTTCTGTCTCAAACATTTCATCCACTTTCTGATACATTTGTGACCAGTTCGGCGTTTGGGCCTAGTAGTTCTGATGAACTTAAATTTGGGGGTGGGGGGCACTGAAGAAATACAAATTTTTGATATGATGAATCCTGTGCTAATCTTCAGAAACACCGTTTTAGTTCAAGTTGATACAATGTGATACGAGTTGATACGAACATATATGTATTTGTCAGATATCTACTGGATACATGATTAGATTCTTGTATATGTAATATTTTCTGTTATTTCATTTTACTCATTTTGTTAGGATTCTTGGAGGAATATTTGGCCAACATCATGTTTTCACCCAGATTTGTGTGTGTGTGTGTGTGTGTGTGTGCGCGCGCGCGCGCGTGTATGTGTATTACAACTTATCATATTGCTGGTAGCAGCCAACAGCACAACGTTATTCAGTCAGTGAGTGGTAGATGTCCCTGCAATTGGTTATCCATGTGAACTGGTTGCCATTTTTATTTTGTCTTGCGGCAACATTGAAGTCTTCATCCAGTCCATTTCTTTACATCAGAAGATTTATGCGCTAAGTATCTAATTTTAAACAACTTGTACGCTAAAATCAATAAACAGTTACATGCAGGAATGCTACATTACCATAAATCTAACTCCTGTATTCACGCTGTCTGTTGCAGGGACGCCGGTAAATCGTATCCCCATCATGGCCAAGCAGACCCTAGATCTCTACCAGCTGTTCAACCTGGTGGTGGAGAGAGGGGGCCTGGTGGAGGTCATCAACAAGAAACTCTGGCGTGAGATCACTAAGGGTCTGAACCTGCCCTCTTCCATCACAAGTGCTGCTTTCACCCTTAGAACACAGTGAGTATGCTGTTATGAACCTGTGCTGTGGTGTAACCTTTCTAGTCCTCAACCTTACCCAGAATCAGAATTCAGAAATGTGTATACCTCGACTTGTTACCTTGAGATCCACCCTTGTTAAAATGTAGTCAACGGATTGGCAAGGTGGTCTTGTGGTTGGGGTTGTGGAATCTGGGTTTGAATCCCTGACAGGGCCCACTGCTGTGTCCTTGGGAAGGGCACTTTACAACTGAAATCCCTACAATTTAGAGTATTGAAAGTATGAATCAAACAGTTTGATCAGGATGTAAATATATTTTGAATGCACAAAGGTTAAAACTGCTGAAAAAGTGTCACCTTTTCCCAGGTTGGACACAACCAACCACCTGTTGAATAACAGCTGCCCCACAGGGTGTAAAATTGCCCAGATGTAGATGTACAGTAAGCCGATGTGTGCGTATTTTTCACAACGGTGTTAACCTCCATCACATGTCATTTAGGTAGTGTTAAATCCTTCAGCCCTTTGTTTGAAAGGTGTTGTTGTCTGAAACCTGTAATTTTCTGGCCAAGCTGTTGGACTATAATTTTCCAGTTGGTGATGATGATAAGACGATATGTTAGATGTTGGTACCAGGTGGCTCATGATACCCTTTTGTCTTTATTTGTGATCTCTTGCCTAAGGACTAATTGCAAGTTACATGCATATGTTTGCCAGGGTTTGACTCCATATGAGCTGAAACATTAGGTACAACTTGCTTACATTGAGTTGAAGAATATCTTTCAAAGTCAAACAGAGCCCAAATAGGAAAGTGCAAATATCTGGATAAAAAAGTTTAGTTTTCTCCTCAGAACAAAGATCCAATCAGAACTTACCTTCAGGATTTTTCATTCACCCCCACAACTGAAAACATTCTTTAAGTTGAAGTGAATTCAGTAGTTAAATCACTAAATCTATAGACTTGTACTTTCATACATGTTGCCTGTAAGTTTCATCAAGTTGGGAATACATTTATGCCAAGATAAAAGATTTGCGCCCACATAGTAAGCACATCCCAGATTCCATTAGTAACCGTCGGAAGAGCAACAATCTGCCATTCCACAACCTCCCGTGGTCATCTCATGTATTCCCCCGAGCTGAAAGTGAACTTAATGATCGGCGTGGCCCGGCTTAGCCTTTGTTATTATCAGATGGGGCTGTACCCCCTCCCGCTGATGTAGCGATCTCCTAGCCGGGGCTAAGTGGCTACAGACGATCATGCCTCATCCGACCACTGCCGAGCACTCCCCAGAGAGCCATGTTATCAAACCTACAGGCAGCATTCATTCACAGAATCAATTTTACCACCCTAATCTCCCGAGGTCATCGAGCATATATATTTGATATCCTGCTGCCAGTACAATTTCCTTTTACTCGGGGTGCCGTTGACTGGCAGACGAGGAAGGCCCATAAAGCGCAGGTATTTATCCACGCCACTGCCAGGCTCAATGTTGCAATTGGGATTGAGATGATGGAATGTTGATTAAAAGGGGTCAGAAGGTGGTTGTAAGACAGGTGCTCTCCATTATTGTTGCCATCACCTTGGCCGTACATCATGACTACTCACTCCACCTGCAACTTCTGCCTTGGCCTTCTCTGCTCATACAAATGTGCCTCCACGCCCTTTGTTATTCATGATGCACTCCCTCCGCAAGCAAATAAAAAGGACCAAAGGCGCTTTGATGCCAGCTTTTTTTCGGATTCAATTAATTCCCATCATTGTGTGGGGTGAACGCCGCACCTGTGCACTGATCCCCGCTCCGTGCTCTACATCAAATGTTTGGTATCTCGCATCGAGACATGTTCGCCAAGGCTCCGGCAAAGAAAACAAACATGTCGCAGAGGCATGTCCTCCTTTACACTTTTACACACTATTTCTTTAAGCTATTATTAATTAACCATGAACGTGGCTGCCAGGGAGTCACTTATGTCCTCCCTTTGAAGTTTGACATCGGTCCACAGACGTTTTAACATTTGATCCTCCTGCATGTACTGGATCATGTTGGGAATGACGTGGGGAAGATTAAAAGTGTTTAAGGCAGTCAGACTTGACTGGGACATTATAAATCCCCCCATGTCACATATCACAATACCCCGGTTGTGCTGGCATTAAAGCCTCTGATGGCCGGGCCCTGTTCCCACCCAGTCTGAGTGCATCCAGTTAGCACCTCTCTAGGAAGTGCCCATCTCTAACCAGCGTCTTACATGTTAAGTCTGGCAAAGAGTAAACAGAATGCCTGGGCGTCCGCAGGTGATGCACCGCGTGCATTAGTCGAGCCATCCTCGATATTGGGCTAGATAAGTGGTGCGGGGAAAAAGTATGGGAGCGGTGATTTAGGAATGTCTGGGAGTGGTGCTGGTTTAATTGCCTGAAATCAGATCTTATCGAGGCCGGAGAGTTACATTGTCTGGGCCAGTTTGGCCGTGGGCAGACATCGTGTAATCCGATTTACCGAAGTAAATATGTTTACACTCCGGCGTGGTTTTACACTCCGCGCTGACACGCACTTGGATGTCGTCTTAGACACAGCAGCATTGCTGGGCATTGTTGTCTGTCCATTTGTGTGTTTACGCCGGGAGTCTACTTACATGTCCCAACAGAACGCCCCACCACATCGGGCCACTCGATCCCCCAAAAGGGGAGGTAAAATCCACACCGCGATTTCGTAATATCAATCTGCCCGCCAACTTCATCACGCGGCGCCATTCACGGCCACGACCGGTTCAATGGCAGCGCCGCACAATGTGGGACAATGGAGGTTCAGATTGGGCTGATAATTCTGCTTATTTTACACCCCTGGCAGACAGACGGCCAGACAGGACCTCATCAATCTCGATCAGGCCTTTCATCAACAAACACATCGCACATCAGCGCAGGGAGCAGATGGTACTTCCCAGCCAGAGGAGCGCCCGGCTCCGAAACCTGATCAGTGGGGGACCCTACCTGATTTATGCTTCATATCACGGCTCTGATTGCACAGTAATTGTGCTTTTAAGCCCCCTACATTCGGGCCAGTTCATGCCACGCTTGGCATCATTTTAGTTAGGGGAATCAGATGCATTTGCACTGATCAGCTAATAGCCGTAATCCAATATATTTGACCCGCCTGCCCCTGTTTCAGCACTTCTTTCAGCCTCTTGATTTCTATCAAAATATTCGGGGCTTGATGTCCTGGATGTGTGTTTGGGCCCTGCCAGACTTCAAAAGAGATCAGGGGGCCGTTCTGCTACCTGAATTACTCATCAATTGAATTTCTTCGAGGGGCGAAAACACTGGGAATAATGCATGTAATGCGCGGCGTGAAACTCAATTCGCTTGGGGATTCAATGCATGTCTGCACCCAATAGCCCCGCTGATCCCACTTTCAATTGGTTTCCTTGCCCATACATGGAGTACATACTTTAATACATGTACCCGGCGGATTCGGGCTGGGGCTAACCGACCAGCACACAACTTAATGCAATGGTCCACACCAGCTCTAAATCCATTTTCCAGGCCATTACTGGTACAGCCGGCAGGAGTCAGGGTTAAGCATGGTGAAAACTTGGGGCTGGACTTGGGCGAGACTCAGGGATTGACCTCTACATGCCGCTTACTGACAGCCAGCTGCGTGGTAGTGCTTTATATTGGGGGAGGGAAATGAGCAAAAGGTTTTCTGGCAGTAGTTGTTCACATCTGATCAATGTGCTGTTGAAGGAAGGGGAATTTTTTTCTGTGCAATATTTATACTCTAATGGGATCGGCAAAGATTCAACATTCATGTCAATGAACAACTTCTATACTTTGCTTTTCAGCTCTTTATCTGTTACTCAATTCTGAAACACATCTGTCATCAGATGGAAATCTGCAAAAGGGAGGGTGTTAATCCTTCCACTGTAGGGAGCTTTTAAAAATGCTAGCCCAAGGTGAAAAGTTAGCCCAAGGGAGGACATTGCTCATTTTACTATTTTTTAGACCATATCTAAATTAATTGAATTTTTTTTTGTCAGTTTGGATGGTCATATCAACAGTTTTCACATTTGATCTGACATTATGCCCTAGCCACAACTCTGGACCCTAAAAGTGCTGCTGTCAAGTCTCATCAAACTTTTTCTGAACCAGCCCTGCCAGGATAGGAGCTGTTTGACCTGGCCTGCCCCGTCCTGCCTGCTTTTAGGTTTTACTCCAAACTGGTGACAGTCCCTGCTAAACCCAATTTGACAAACTTTCTTATAGCTTAAACTCCACAAACATTAACAGGCTTCATCCCACTTAAACAATATTTCTTGTCTGTACGTCTTTGGAGGGCGGCGAGGCCGTGCTTAAGGCCTCAAGTTCGGACGTCAGCACTGGCAGATGTTTACTTGTGGGAACGAACTTGGGACAAAGCCGGATTTCTGTATATAAAAAGGGTCTGATTAACTGATTTCAATCCATTAGGGCATTTTGGGATGGAGGATCCCGGGTTAAGAAGGTTAACCATTCTGCGTGCTGACAACAGCTGGTTTTGCTCGCTGGCAGAATCTGTTTTAGCGAAGTTTCCAGGATGAATTAAACAAACATGAAGGGTGGATTTTGATGGCCTCCTCAAGTGTCCTTATACAGGCCTGCAGTATGTCCGTGCCTCCTGATTACATCGCACCATTCGTTTCTTTTTCAAACAAATAACTCTATAGATGGCGTGAGCAAATTCGTAGCTAACCTTACGGTGCGGTCACGTTCATAGTAGGCCATAGTACAATTTTGATGTTGTAGGATTTTCAAGCAGGTTGTGACAGAAACGCTATCAAGGACCTAAGAGTAAGACAATGTTTTCTGTACTCACATAACAAATGAATTTTGTATGACATATGCATGACTATCAACAAAACCACCAATTTTGACACCTGTAAATTTATTGCCAAAAGGCTACCTCAGCAGGTAGAAGGTCCAAAGTGTTCTATTGTGATTTATCTCCACATATTTGTGCAACCATTGCCAGTTGTGTATTGTGAGCTAAACCGC